TTAATGATTCTATGATTCTATGACATCTCGCACTAGATCAGGTTGCTTAAAGTCTCGTCCAACCTGACCTTGAACTTTTCCGATGATGGGGCATTCACATCTTCTCTGGGCAACCCGTTCCAAGAGTCTCACCACCCTCATCATAAAAAATTTCCTCTTTATGGCCAACCTAGACCTACCCTCTTTCAGTTTAAAACCGTTGCCCCTTGTCCTGTCACTACAAGCCTTGGTAAAAAGTTGTCTCCATCTTTCTCGTAAGCCTACAGGTAAGGCTACAAGAAGGTCTCCCTGAAGCCTTCTCTTCTCCAGGCACAAAAACCCTAACTCTCTCAGCCTGTCCTCACAGGAGAGGTGTTCCAGCCCTTGGATCATTTTTGTGGCCCAACTCTGGACCCGCTCTAACAGGTCCATGTCCTCCTTCCTGTGCTGCGGACCCCAGAGCTGGACGCGCTGCTCCAGGTAGGATCTCATGAGAACGGAGTAGAGGGGGAGCATCACCTCCGTTGACCTGCTGGCCATCCTTCTTGTGATGCACCCCAGGATACTCTTGGCTTTCTGGGCTGCAAGCGCACATTGTCGGCTCACGTCCACCAGTATCTCCAAGTCCTTCTCCACACGGCTGCTCTAAACCCATCCATTCCCCACTCTACTGATACTGGTGCAGAACCTTCCGCTTGACCTTGTTGATCTTCATGAGGTTCATGCAGCCCTGCTCCTCCAGCCTGAAATGTGCCACAGGAAAGCTGGGTCTTGCTGCGCCTTGTTGCAAGAACCCTCCACGTCACTTTAGATGCTCGATTCCTGGGCAGCTTCGCTTTCCAAGTGAAATAACAGCCTCGAGAAGCCTTTTTTTTTTTTTTTCTCCTGCCAGCTCTCCACCTCTTGCTCCAAACCACAGAGGCATCTTCCCCCTCCAGAACAGTTAGTTATAACCCAGGCAAATATACCCGATTTTATTTTAATTTTTATTCTCCTCCTCAGAAAAATCTGAACTGTTTCTATGCAAATTTCTCCAAAAGGAGGGTGGGGGTGGAAAGTCCAAGAAGATTGAAAGGCTGCAATGCTTTGCATGAAAGTGGGTCAGGGTGCTCCAGTGGCTGAAAATTGCAGGTTAGCCTGGAAATGGTTGGGTCTTGCTGCCTGGAAATAGGCTTCAAGATGTTTTCCAAGTGAAAAAACTACCCAAGCAGCAGCCTTGATTTCTGGTGAGATGATTTCTGGAGGCAGGAGAGCGTTTCGGACTCTTAATTTTGCCTTTGTGACAGCAGTTGTCTTTGCTCCAGGGTATCTGCCCTACTTGGGAGACCCTTTGGAGAACAACAAGGATTTTCTCTCTTGTTTCTCCTCCAGATCCGTGTTTGCTCTGTCTCTGGAGCTCTGATGTAACAGCCCCTTTTCTCTTTACAGATGGGAATTACGAAAAAGCCATTGAATGCGCCAAAACCTATTTGCTCTTCTTCCCAAACGATGAGGTGATGAACCAGAATTTGGCCTATTACACCGCCGTCCTGGGGGAAAACCTGGCGGGACCCATCCAACCCCGAGAGGTGAGCGACCGGCTGGGATGAGCCGTTGCAGGGACATCTTCTTCCCTCCTTGGGGACCTTTGCGAAAGTTTTGGGGTCTTCTCTGGATGGATCTGCTCTGGTCCAGCCACCGTTCGGTGGTAAGGTGGACAGGAACGGATGGATGCAAGACCCAACAAGCTGGAAAATAGCTGAGAGAGTGAAAAACCTCACTGGCAAAATATCTTTGGCCAAGTGAAGGCTTGATGGCTTGCACAAATGGACCGGCTCTTGTGGGAGAGGTCTGCGAGAGGCAGACGGACAGACTTTTTAGGAGGATCTGAGCCCACCTCTGCTACACATTTCCACAACTGAAGTGAAATTCCTTAAAAAGGAGAGGATTTGGCTTCAAAATAGCTGGATCCGGATGCTCGGGTGCTGCCTGGGAGGTGGTAGGCAGGGATGGAGGTCTCTACCCCACATCAGCTGGCGCAGGGAAGGGAATCTGCTTCTTAAAGAGCTTCCTGCAGGAGGGACACGCATGTGCCTCTGTCTCCCCCGTCCTCTCCCCAGGGCTCGTCCACATGGGACAGGGAAGTTCATGCAGGATGGGGAAAGCCACTTGCTTCCCGGCTGCCAGAGGGACCGGGAAACCAGGGCTGCGGGTCTGGAGCAAGGACCGCGGGAACGATGTAAACCCTGCACCCTCCTGCCCTCGCTCGGGGTCTTTCCAGAGCCCTCGTGCTGTGCCCTCACCCCGTCCCTCTGCCCCTCGCCGCAGGAGATCCAGGCGTACCGCCAACGAAGCCTGATGGAGAAGGAGCTGCTCTTCTTCAGTTACGACGTCTTCGGCATCCCCTTCGTGGACCCGGTGAGTGGTGCTGGACCAGGCTGGACACGGTGGCCAGATGGGAAGGGGAGGAGGGGTCTGCATGCCAGCCAGAACTTCATCCAGCTCCTGACGTTGTTGTTCTTCTGGCTGCAGGACACGTGGACTCCCGAAGAGGTGATACCAAAAAGGCTGCGAGAGAAACAAAAGTGAGTGCTCTCCCAAGCTGATGGCCAAGCCTACCCAACGGGGGGACCGATGGGACATATCCCTCTTCCTCCATGGGGTTTGGGCCAAAGGCCGTGGCCACGGAGCTGCTGCCAAGGAGGTTTTTTGGTGTTGGGACTGGAAGAAGCTGCTGGAGGGCAGAACTTTGCTCCCCATCAGCCCTTGGGGTGATGGAGAATGGGTAGGTCATTCCGAGCAGCTCAGGGTGAGGGATGTGTTGAGATGATTCTCTCCAGCCTTGGGCTTTGTCCCCGGCCCCTGGAGACAACTTGTCCTGCCCTTGTGCTGGTGCCCCTCGTTCCCGATGTGGGGACAGTGGGATGGTGGAGCTGATGGCTGCCGCGTGCCCAGGGTGGAGCGGGAGACGGCGGCACGCATCTCGGAGGAGATCGGCAACCTCATGAAGGAGATCGAGACGCTGGTGGAGGAGAAGGCCAAGGAGTCTGCTGACATGAGCAAGTTCATCCGAGAAGGTGCGGAGGGCTGAGAGGGGAGGTGGGATGGGGACCTCCATGTCCCCCACTGCCAGCTCATGGTCCCTCCACATGGGTGGTGGCAGGAGCAGGTGGCAGGACCACAGCTTCCCCCAGCGCTGTACCCCAGGTTTGGTGGCACCCATCCCTGTGTCCCCCTGATCCCATTTGTGCCACAGGTGGCCCCTTGGTGTACGAAGGAGCCAGCGTCACCATGAACTCCAAGACCCTGAATGGCTCCCAGCGCGTCGTGGTGGACGGGGTCCTTTCTGCTGAGGAGTGCCGGGAGCTGCAGAGACTCACCAACGTGAGCGCAGGGACGGGAGGAGCGGGCAGGAATGGGGCAGGGGACGCTGAAGGGTCCCATCCTGCGGCTCAGAAGTCAGATAGGTAACACCGATTGGGCTTTGCAGGCAGCTGCCTCGGCCGGGGACGGCTATCGTGGGAAGACATCTCCTCACACCCCCAGTGAGACCTTCTACGGCGTGACTGTCCTCAAGGCCCTCAAGGTTAGGGTGGCTACGGGGAGGGGGGAGAAACAGGCTGTGGAGACCAAGGAGGGAAGGTTTGAAGGCAAGCAGCTGCCCGTGCTTGCCCAACCCGCCTGGGGCTGAGCCCGTGTCCTCTCCGTCCCCCGCAGCTGGGCCAGGAGGGCAAGGTGCCCCTGCAGAGCGCCTACCTCTACTACAACGTGACGGAGAAGGTGCGGCACATGATGGAGTCCTACTTCCGCCTGGAGGTCCCGCTCCACTTCTCCTACTCCCACCTGGTGTGCCGCACAGCCATCGATGGTGAGCGTGGCCTCGGAGAAGTACAACCCAAGGAGAAGGTCTCCTTCAGCCTCTTGTCCTGTCTGGGTCCCCTCCAACAATTGGGGTGGTCTGGTCTTGGACCTTTCCTTGGAGACCTCCTTGCTGCTCCCTAACCTGCTCCTTTTCCCAAAAGGAAGGTGTGGGGAGCTTGTCCCTAAGCCCGGTTTGGGAAGATGAGCAGCTCTGTTGGTGCCTCCAACGGGGCAGGTGGCTTCATGCCGTACAGGATTTCCGCACTCGGAGGCGTTTGGGATCGGGTGCTGGGAGAGACTGTGTCAGGGGGGCCATGGAGATGCCATGGGACAAGTCAACGAAGGCTTGCGCCACCCAAATGGCCTCTCATGGTCCACACTCCAGCGAGCAGAAGGGCTTTAGGCTACAGGTGACTTTCTTGTCACCTCCAAGCATATGGCGCTTGGGTACAGACCCCGGGGACAAAGGGGTCCTGACGTGCCAGGTCTTGTTCCACCCTAGAGAAGCAAGAAGGCCGGAGTGACAACAGCCATGAGGTGCACGTGGACAACTGCATCCTCAACGCGGAGGCCCTGGTGTGCGTGAAGGAACCTCCAGCCTACACCTTCCGGGATTACAGGTACCGGTGGTGTCTATCAGGCAGAGCTTCCCCCCCTGAGGGCACCATGGCTTGGTGGCACCAGGGTTGGGAGGAGCAGGGTGGGAGGGCAACCCAACCTGGGCTCTCCGGCCTCTGGCTCTTGCCGTGGTGGTGGGGGAGCTCCCAGTTGCTGGAGTTGTGGAGTGATGGTCACCACCTCTGCTTGTCCCCTGCTTTCTTTAGTGCCATCCTCTACCTCAACGGGGACTTTGAAGGAGGAGCTTTCTACTTCACCGAGCTGGATGCCAAGACCGAGACCGTAAGTAGCTCAGCACCTTGAGGATCCACGTGCAGCACCAAACCCAGCTCCAAACCCTGCTGGCAAGGGATGAAGTTGGGTTTTGGGGGGAGACCAACTCATCCCCTCGCCCACCGCGTGCATCCTGACCGGGGTCTCCCATCCATCACAGGCGGAGGTTCAGCCGCAGTGCGGCCGCGCCGTGGGCTTCTCCTCCGGCTCGGAGAACCCCCATGGAGTGAAAGCCGTGACCAAGGGCCAACGCTGCGCCATCGCGCTCTGGTTCACCCTGGACCCTCGGCACGGCGAGCGGGTAAGCTCCCTCCCCGGCAGCGGGTGGGGTTTTTTTGGGGGGGACAATGGCCGTGCTTATCCCCGTGGGTCTGCCCCACAGGAGCGTGTGCAGGCGGACGACCTGGTGAAGATGCTTTTCAGCGCGGAAGAGGGGGA